TTTTTTTTTTTTCCTGGAACTGGGGATTGAACTCAGGCTCTTGTGCTTGCCAGGCAAGTGCTTATTCTACTGAGCCATCTCCCCAGCCCCAGCGCAGGTTCTTGATATGCAGTTCAGACTGATCCTTTTGTGTCAGCCTCCCCAGCTCTGGAATTACAGGTGTGCGCCACCATACCCACTTTTGGATCTGGCACTGTGTGGGGGTCAGCATGGCATGCAGTACCGGGGACCGAACCCAGGTCCTTAAGCTTGCCAGGCAGGTACGTACCTGCTGAGCTATCTCCTAGCCTTCCATATTTATTGAGTCATAATCATGCTCTGATTTTTTTTTTTTTTTTTTTTTTTGTGACACACACCTGGAAGTCTTGGGCTACCATTAACATTCATACTGTAGCTGTGGTATTATAGTTGTTGTATTTAAAGGTTATATACTGAGGTTAGTTTATTGAAAGAATATGAACAGTCTGAAAGGCCTAGAAAATGACAGTAAAAGGACTAGAAAGTGGCAGCAGTCTCTTCAATATATTGAAATTGCACTATTAAATTAGTGTAATTTACCATTTTCAGATTGGTAATTTCCTTTCGTAGAATACTTTACCAGGTACATATTAGGAGGCATTAAACCTGAATGCTTTTCTTTTGTAAATTAGGAGAGGAAGAGGAGTTGAACAGAAGGGAAGGGCTTTGGGGATAAAAGGAGTCAAGGTATATTACCTACAGGTACAAATTCTCTATGATGACTGTGATAAAGTTAATTATAAAAAGGTACGATGAAAAATATTTTTTTTCCTTTGGCTGTAAATGTGCCTTTGTATGTGATGTAGAGTTCTATCAGTTATTATTAATCATTTGTTCACTAATATTAAATAAAAATAGAATCTGATCACTTTTCCTGGTGTTGAGACTTTTTTTTCTTTGACCCTGAGGATTAAAGCCAGGCTCTTAGGCCGGCCAGATAGCTCAGTGGGCTAAGGTGCAGAGACCATTCCCCGCGTGCCATACCATGCTGGGCCCACCCCCAGGGCACACTGGTACCAAGACTGGGAGTGGTGGCCTGTGCCTGTAATCCCAGTGCTTGGGAGGTAGAAAGCAGGAGAATCACTACGAGTCTGATCTATGTAAGGAAGACCCAGAAGACCCTGTACTTTAAAAAAACAAATTCAGGATCTTCTCACTGAGTATCTCCAGTTCTTTCATTTTTTTCATTTTGAGAGAGGGTATTGCCAAGTCATTAAGCCTGGCTGGGCTTTACTTGTTATCTTCCTGGCTCAGTCTTCCAGAGTGCTGGTATTCTAGCCCTGTACTACCATGCTCGTTTTGTTTTGTATTATTTTACCTTCTCTTAACTGTTCATCTTGATCTGAACTTTCTAAGTAAAGGTAGAGATGTGATTTTTTTTTTCCCTTTTTATGAATGTAGAACTACACTGATCAAATACTTTGGTGTTCCCGAGTAAAATTAAGTTATGCCTACTTACACATTACTATTTTAAGGTATTTCTGGAATACCTAAGGTGAACATAGCATTTGTAATATTTTTTGACAATGACACATATACATATATATCTTTTATTTTGAAATACTGTTAACAAATTTAAGTATACACACAGATATATATAGATATATATAGATATATATATCTATACATATATATAAATATATGTATATAAATTTTAGAATTTAGCAGTTGACCTGGGCATGGTGGTGCATGCTTATAATACTAGCTGTGTGAGACAGCAAGGTTACCAGTTCCAGACCAGTAGGCACTATCTAGTAGACTCAGTCTCCAACAGAATGAACAGTTGGATTGATTATAGTTTTCTTTTTTTTTTTTTTTTTAAATTTTATTTATTTGTGTGTGTGTGTGTGTGTGTGTGTGTGTGTGTAGCCAGCTCAGCCCACCAGGGGGCGGTGCTGGCTGGCATGTGGTGCTGGGGGATTGAACCGTGGTCCCCGTGCTTTGCCAAGCTTGTTCTAAGTAGGTGCTTTAGACCACTGAGCCATCTCACCAGCCCCTGATTATAGTTTTCTGAAATTTATTTAGATTGTTAAGTTAGGGAAAATCTTTTTGAAATTTTCTTTCAAAAAGCATGTTTTTAATAAGTAAATCATTTTGAGACTTTGACACTGTTGTGGTGTGCTTTGATCTTTGTTCATAATTGTTTAACACATTCATGACAAGGCCTTAATTTGTATATCTTGCTGCTGGGCAGCTTGAGCCACTGATGGTGGTACATGTGTGACTGTCGCATCAGGTGACATGGGAGAGTGCCATTGAGTGCTATAAGCTGCCCAGTGGAACAGTTATTCATGCACCACCAGTGGTTCATACTAGTGGGAAGATAATAAATTTGCTTTGTCTCTTAGAATTTGGTGCGTAGATGTTTAAAGAACCTGCCTCTACTGTGACAGTATTTGGCAAGGAAAAATTCTGTTTTATTAAAGAAGAACTTTAGGGGCTGGGAAGATGGCTCAGTGGAATAAGTACTTCCCTGGCAAGTGCAAGGACCTCAGTTCAATCCCCGGTTCCACCAAAAGAAAAAAAAAAAAAAAAAAAAGAACTTTAAAAACTAGAAAGATGTAAGGGTATTTATGCTTGACTTTTGTTTAATGATAAAGTTACTGAGATATGATTGGTATTCTTGAGCTGAAACTTCCTTTCTGGTTGAAAGAAGAACTTTAAGTGTTAAAGAAGATTAGTTGGATTGACTAGTGTTTTGTAAGCATATGGTCATTGTTTGCCTGATGGTTTTATTTATTGTCCTGATTTTTTTCTGTTGTTGAGGAGTTAGAAATTGAACCCAGAGTCTTCACACTGAGCTACTCCCCCCTTTTTATTTTGAGACATTTTGAACATGTGATCCTCTTGCCTCAGCCTCCCAGACTGCTGGGTTACAGGCAGATGGCACTGCATTCAGCTTTGTTTTATTTTATTTTTTTGGCAGAACCGGGGATTGAACTCAGACCCTTGTGCTTGCCAGGGAAGTGCTTATTCCACTGAGCCATCTGCCCAGCCCCCGATTTTATTTTATTTATTTAGCTTTATTTTACTAAAAGTCCCATAAAACCACAAAGAATATGTTACTTAAACATGAATTCATTGGGAAATCTGGATTATGTTTTAAAGATACATAGAGGAATAGGTTTTATCTTCTTAGTTTCATGTGATAGATAAAACATTAAGTCTGACAAATTGGTATACTTTCGGAGTTGACAGCCTGGATGCTCCCTTGCTGTAAGAGATACTTATGAGTGTCAAAGTCAGGTTACTGTTAAATAGAAAAACTGAAGCAAGGGCCAGGGAGATAGCTCAGTGGATTAAGTGCCTGCTTTGGCAGGGACCAGGAACCAGGGTCCGATCCCCCATCTTAATGCCACACTGGCCCTGCCCCCAGGGTGTGGTGAGCCAGGAAACTAGTGCATGCATGGAGGTGCACACCTGTAATCTCAGCACTGGGTTGGCTGAAAATAGGATCACTATGAGTCCGAGCTGTGTAGTACCCTGTACCAAATACATAAATGAAAAAACAAAATAAACAACAACAACAAAAACAATGAAGCAGACAAAAACTCTGCTGTCTGTCTTTCTACCATTTTTTCTTTTATTTATAACTCTAGATGTTTCTTTGTTTATAGCTGCTAGTGCTTTTGCCAGTGAAATGGTGTTATTTTTTATGTTCTCACTTTATAAGAAGATCTGTGTTAAAGATACTCATTAAGAAGATTAGCAGTAGGTTTGATGGTTTTTGGCTTTTGGTCTTTTTTTGGTACTGGGGATCAAATTCAGGACCTTGTGCTTGTAAAGGCAGGTGCTTCAGCCTCTGAGCTATCTCCCCAGCCACTTTTACTTTTTTGGGGAGGTGGGGTAGGTCTTACTATGTTGTCCAGGCTGGCCTCCGACTTGCTATGTTGCTGGCCCAGCCTTCCAAATAGTTGGGATTAAAGATGTGTGCTCCTATCCCTGGCTTTGACAACTGGTTTTGGATGCTAGTGACTGGGGCTTTAGCGAAAGGTGCTTAGAGGAGAGGTGATAGCTGTCCCATCACTTTCCTTTTCTTCATTGTTGACAGAACAGTTCTTTTTTTTTTTTTTTTTTTTTTGTCTATTTGGAGGAACCGGGGATTGAACTCAGGGCCATGTGCTTGCCAGGGAAGCACTTGTTCTACTGAGCCATCTCCCCGGCCCAGAGAACAGGTAGTTCTGAGAGTGATACATTTATTCATTTGTTTAATCGTTTAATTTTGGTTTTGTGAGGCATTGTCTTCCTATGTAGGTCAGGCTGGCCTTGAGCTCACTGTGTACCCCAAGCTGGCCTCAAACTCATTGTGATCTTCCTGCCTCAGCCTCCCAAGTGCAGGGATTATAAGTGTGCACAGCTCTTTATTAGCTTGCCTTGGGTACTGTGGGCTGAAACTAGTGGTGCCGTGGCACATCCCTAGCTCTTGTTGAAGACAGTTTTGCTAAATTGTCCAGCCTGTGCTTGAACTTATGATCTTCCTGCCACAGTTTTCCAAGCAGCCAGGATTAGAGACACAGGACGTTATGTCTGCGTTGTGTGTTATTTACAGTGTCTGCAGGCTGGATGCCAAATAGCAACTTAGGGCCCAGACACTATGTTTTCACTGTTGCCATTTGAGAGAATAAATAAATGAAGACCTGGTCTGAGATACGTGGCATAACTAGAATCTCAAAAGATAGGGGGCATACTAGTTACAAAAGTAAGCAAAAGAGGAAAATCCCACTTGTGGTATGTATACGCCGTTTGTTCTAGCAGTAGGCTGTGTTTGTGGTCCTTTCTTAAAGTAATGCTTTTGAGGTTTTGATTTTCCAGAATAGAGATGATTTTGTTTTGACACAATTGTTTACAGATATTTAAAATACTTGTTTTCTCTTTGTCTGATTAGATGTGATGCAGACCCTTCAGCTTTAGCTAACTATGTTGTAGCCCTGGTCAAGAAGGACAAACCTGAGAAAGAATTGAAAGCTTTTTGTGCTGATCAGCTTGATGTCTTTTTACAAAAAGGTAATTATTGTGGGTCTTCTGCTAAGTATGTATGTGTGTATTTATTTATTTTTGAGACAGGGTCTCACTATGTATTCTAGAGTAGCTGTGAACTCTTAATAGTTCAGGCTGGCTTCACACTGACAGTGATGCTCTTGCCTCAGCCTCCTACATATATCACCATGCCCAACATCTACCAAATATTTAGAGATTTTGAATTTAAAACTTCCTGAAGGTAGAAGCTTTATGGTAAAGAAAGTAGTCAGATTTTTATAAATATACATTCACAGAGTGCCATGCTGGCCTGGCCCCTGGGGTGCTCTGAGACAAGGATTGAGACTGGGTGTGGTGCTGTGTGCCTGTAATCCCAGCACTTGGGAGGCTGAAAACAGGAGAATCGCTACAAGATCTATATAGTGAGACCCTGTACTAAATACAAAAAAAAAGTAAACGTTCATACTTAACTATTTCTCAGGTTTTGCAAGAGTAAGTTTTTTTCTATTCTTTTTTTTTGTTGTTCATTTTTTTTCCCCAACAGAGTCTCAATATGTAGTCCAAGCTGGACTTGGAACTCACAATTCTTCTACTTTAGTTTTTCCGTGCTAGGTCCTGTTAAGCCTAATCAACCTTTTTCCTGTATTGAGTAAATGGCAGCTCTCATACTTTTTAGGTCCCTTACAGCTTTTGGCAGCACTTAACTGATGGTTGAAGAGTTAACAGTTTAAGGATATTGAAGCTGCTGATTCTTGTTAAGACAGTGATTCCATCAGTCTTTGCCCCTCTGATCTGGAGCTTGTTTATTTCCAAGAAGAGAATGGGCACAATCATTTCTTTCTCTCTCTCTCTCTCTCTCTCTCTCTCTCTCGTGGCTGGCTCAGCCCTGCCCTATGTGCAGCACTGTGCGGCGTGTGGTGCCAGGGATTGAACCGCCGTCCCTAAGCTTGCCTAAGCAGGCACCTAAGACTGTTGAGCTATATCACTGGCCCCCAATCTTTTCTCTTTGTGCTTTTAACTTCCTGTTTCTTACCTAAGTCCTTGCCATGGTCTACAGAGCTTCCGTGAGATTTCCCTTGCAGCTTCGAAAATACTCTGCCTCTTGCCTGCTTTTTTTCCATCTTGCCACATTGACTACTTTATTGATTTTGATTAGGGAAAGCATGTCTCCAACTCAGATACTTTGAACTTGATTTTACCCTTGTTTGAAACAGATTCCTCCTTTACTGATTTGTGGTCTCTTTTCAAACATTGTAAGTGGATGTTTTCCCTTGAGTGTCCTCATACAATAAAGAACACTGTGCTTCTAGTCACTTAGTCCTTCCTCTAACGTTGCTTTGAAAGTGGAGACTTGGAACGTAGAGTTCCATAGATACTATAGATACTGAATAAGTATTATGGAATTGATGCATTGGCATGTGAGTAACACCAGTCAGTCTGCTGTTGATCATGAGGAAGTATTTTTTAACTCAAATACTTTCTTTTTTAAAAATTAATTTTATTGAGAAAAATAGCAATGAGACATTTTTAAAACAGGTTAGTAGGACAGTTACAATAATTAATACATTGTGAAATACTTTCTTTTTTTATGAGCAGAATATATTTATTGAGGGAAAGAAAGCTCCTGTCTAAGAGAGGGACAGGAGGGGAGCCCCAGGCGGGTGGTCCCCCAAAAGTTGAAAAGGATTTTTTTTTTTTTGGCTGGGTCAGACTTCCTTAAGGGCAAGTCTGGTCAGGCAGGTGGAGGTGGGGATCAAACCAGTGGTATCCTGTGCCTGACTGTATTTGCATGAGGCGGCACTTAAGCAACTGAGCTAACCGGCAGGCCCCCCTATCATTTTTTAATTTCTTTTAAGATTTCTTTTTGTTTTTAAATGTATTTGATGCAGGGTCTACAGGGTCTTACTATGTAAATTGGCTTCTATTGATCCTCCTGTTTTGTCTCCCAAGTGCTGGGATTACAGGCACGGGCTACCATGCCCAGTCTCAATCTTGTCTCAGTGTGCCCCAGGGGCAGGGCATGGCAAGCCAGGGATTGAACCCTGGCCACTGGGCTCTGCCTAACCAGGTAGTTTAGTCTGCTGAGCTACCTGGCTGGCCCTCAAATATTTTCTGAGGAAGAAAAGATAGTAAATATGATTTCTTACTCTTATAGCGTAGGATTACATACATTTTTCATGCATTTTATATACTTGTTTTTTAGACAAAAATACAACTCATATGTGCACAATTCCTCCCTATTCTAAATGAACATTTTCTTTTTTTGCGGAACTGGGGATTGAACTCAGGTCCTTGCGCTTGCCAGGGAAGCACTTATTCCACTGAGCCATCTCTCCGGCCCCAACATTTTCTTTTCTAAAAGTATTAACTTACACTAAAGACAAGTCATGTGGAATAGACATGGGTACATAATAAAAATATTTGGAGTCACAGGTACGTGTATATTTATATACTTGGGAACTTTTTATAAAAAGGCTTTCAAAGGTTTTTGGCAAAAGTTTTTATTATAAGGGGCCAGGGAGATGGCTCAGTGGAATGAGTGCTTCCCTGGCAAGCACAGGGGCCTGAGTTCAATCCCTGGTTCTGCCAAAAAACAAAAAAACAACAACAACAAAGTTTTTATTATAAAAGCAATACAGGGGCTGGAAATACAGCTCCATGTACAGCGCCTGCCTGGCAAATATAGGGTCCTATTTTTAGTCTCCCAAGCACTGGGAGTTCAATTTCTGGTACCCCCCAGAAAAAGCAATATGCATGAGGAAGAACTTTAAAATACATTTTAAAAAGAATAAAAAATATTAAGCATCCAGTACTTTACCACCAGAGATAAAACCACTTTTGTGTTTATGTAGTTTTTAAAATTCTTTATTTATTTGGTACAGGGTCACACTATGCAGTTCATACTCGCAGTGATCCTTCTGTCTCAGCCTCCCTAGGGCTGGGATTACAGGCGTGTGCCACCATGCATGGTTTTGGTGGCTGGCATGGTGGGCTCGGGGTTCCAAGGCTGGCATGGCGTACAGTACTGGGGATTGAACCCTGGGTCTTTGCACTTGCCATGCAGGTACTTAGACCACCGAGCTATCAACTCAGCCCTATGTATAGTTTACTAGATTAGCAGTGTCTGGTAGAACCATGGAGATGGCTGTAATTTATATATGTGTATTTTCTATTTCACAAGTATTAGCTAATGAGCTACTTCAAATGGAGCTTATAAAGGCCAAGATACTGATTCTTAAATTGGTGCTTGTGGCTAAGTGGCTACTGTATTGGACTGTTGGACAGTGTAACTCTTAGACTTATGTATGTTTATATTGTATGTTAAGATAGTATTAAATGAGTGTTCTTATATAATTTTTGTTTTGCTTTGTTTTTACAATGCTGGGCATGGAATCTAGGGCCTTGCACATGCCATGCAAGTGCTGTACCACTGAGCTACATCCCCAGCCATCATGTACTTTAAAAACCTCCCAACAGTGGTTTTTTTTTTTTTTTTTTGTGGTACCAGGGATTGAACTCAGGAGCTTGCACTTGCCAGGCAAGCACTTATTCCATGAGCTATCGTCCCAGCCCCCAACAGCATATTTTGAAAATTGTTTAATGTTAAATGTTTACTTGGCTCTTTAAAAATTGGTTATAGGGCCAGTGAGATAGCTCAGTGGACTAAGCGCCTGCTTAGGCAAGTGCAGGGACCTGGGTTCGATCCTGGGCATCACATGCTGCACTAGCCCCACCCCTGGGCATGCTGCACTGGCCACTGAGTCCAGTGGTGGTGGCACATGCCTGTAATCCCAGTGCTGGGGAGGTTGAAAACAGGAGGTTACTAGTCAGAGCTGCATAGTGAGACCCTGTACCAAATACATTAAAAAAAAAAAAAAAAAATTGGTCGTATGTCTTTCACTAACATGAAAAAATGCAAAAGAGAATGAATAAAGTATTTTGGTTATTACGGATTTTTGAAGGGTCATATTTATTGTCTTAAGAGTATATACAGGTTGAGTTTAGTGCCACACACCTGTAATCCCAGAACTCTAGGTAGCTGAGGCATGCGGAAAGAAAGACAGAAAGACAGACTGACTAGGGATGTAGCTCAGTGTAAAGACACTGGTTCAGTTACCAGTACTGGGGAAGAATAAAAGTACATATAAGATAGCCAGGTGTAACAGTGGATATCTAACCCTACCTATCGTGGAGGCTAAGCTAGGAAGATCACAAATTTGAGGCCAGTTTGAACAACTGAGTGAGATCTTGTCTTAAAAAGAAAAGAAGGGGAGAGTGGTAGAGATATATACAGTAGTTCAGCAGCAGAACACTTGCCTGGCAGGAGCCCCTGGATTTTAAGTTCCCAGTACTAGGAAAAAAAAAAAAAGTAACAGTTAACCAGAACTAACTGCTTTCTAACTGGAAAATTGCTTACTAAACACATAAAAATATATGCAGACTCTTTGCTGAATAATTGATATTGTAGAAATAGCTATTGACGTAAAATGTAAAAATTGTAGTGTGAGCAAAGCCTATGTTCTATTTTTAATTTGTTCTTTAGTTGTTATTTATGGTAGGATTAAAGTTATTTAAATTTCATTTAATTTGATTTTTCTTCCTTTGAGTCTTTTTGTTTTTTATTTTGGCAGAACTGGGGATTGAACTCAGGCCCTTGCGCTTGCCAGGGAAGTGCTTTATTCTATTGCGCCATCTCCCTGGCCCAAAGGTTTTGAGTCTTTTTTTTTTTTTTTTTTTTTTTTTTTTTTTTTTTTTTTTTTTTCTTTCTTTCTTTTTTTTGGTTATCGGGGATCGAACTCAGGATCTTGTGCTTGCCGGGCAGGTGGATATGCTGCTGAGGTATATCTCCAGCCCAATTTGATTTTAATAAGACTTTGGTTTTGGTGATACTTGGAATTTGACCTAGGGCCTTACTACTGATCTACATCCCAGCTCCTTTTTATTTTAAATTTTTTTTTCTCTGTTTAAATTTGAGACAGGGTCTCACCAAGCTGCTAAATTATCCAGGCTAGACTTAAATTTATAGTCATCCTGCCTCTGCCTACCAAAATACTGGGCTTATAGGCTTGAGCCATGCTACCTGGCTATACACTATATATATAGATATAGATATAGATATAGATATAGATATTGATATTGTCTTTTTTTGAAACAGGGTATTGCTCTGCAGCTCAGGCTGGCCTTGCAGTCAGTTTGTAGGCTAGGTTAGAAATTTAGTCATCCTCTTGCCTCAGCCTTCTGAGTGCTGGGATTACAAGGGTGTATTTATGCCTGGCTTATAAATATTTGTGATATTTATACTTTAGTGAATTCCATTAGTCGGAAGTATCAAAAGTAGCATCTTTATTTTATTTTGTTTTTTTGTAGAACTGGGGGATTGAACTCAGGCCCTTGCACTTGCCAGGGAAACGCTTATTCTACTGAGCCATCTCCCCAGCCCCAAAAGTGGCATCTTTAAAACATGAAAGAGATAACTTCTATTCGTG